GCTCCATATGCTAACCTCGGTCCTGTTGTGTTCCCACTTGTCGCAGTGCCGCGTCCGACGTCTCGGCATACGGGACCACAACGCAGTCGGCCCCCGCGTCGCCGGCCCCCGGGCCGGGAGGCGCCTTGCCAGAGCAGCATTCGGCCCTGCAGCCCTCCGGAGCCTCGGGCTACGGCCCACCGCCCGGGACCACGCCGCAGATGCCCTCGTACTCGCCGATGCCGGCATACGGGGCTGGATCGCCGCCGCACGGCCCCCATGCCGGGTCCATGCCGGCGGGTGACCCTCGCCGGGCGCCGCCCCCCCAGTCATCGACGCAGCAGCAGCAGCAGCAGGCCTACATGCAGCACGGTCGTCAGGTGCCGCCTGTGGATTATGCTTCTGGCTCAGGGGCCTCGAGCCCGACCGCACACTCGGCTGCCAGTGCGAACCGGCCGGGATCGGCGCCCGGCACTTGGCGGCCGCCGATCCCGCCGGCCAGCAGCGCCCCCTCGCCCGGGACGACCGCCGCCTCGCCAGCTCCTGGCGGCCATGGCTCGACCACCTCTTCGCCTCACCACCCGGGGTATTCGATGTCAGCCGGACATGGGTCTCAAGGGGGGCCGTCGATGACGCAGCCGTCGGCGGCGGCGGCGTCCGCGGCCGCAGCAGCAGCCGCCGCGGCCGCCGCGGCCGCCGCCTCCTCGCCCCACATGATGGCCCACCCCCTGAGCCACGCGCCGGCCACCGCCGCGGCGCATCACCACCATCATCACCATGCTCACCACTCGACGCAGCATCAGCACCCCTCGCAGGTGGCCCACCCGTACCAGGCGCCGCATCACCAGCATCACATGAAGTATCCGTCAGCGGCGGCGGCGACGGCCGCAGCGGCGGCTGCCGCCATGGGCCCGCCGCCGGGTTCCGCCGCCGGGTCGTCGTCGTCGTCGTCCTCCTCCTCCTCCTCCTCCTCGGTGCCGGGGTCTGCTTCCTCCTCGTCGGCCGGCCTGGCTGGCAGTGCCGCCGGCAGCCACATGATGATGCCATCGCAGGCGGCTGCGGCCGCGCGCGCCGCCGGCCGAGACCTCCCGCCATCGGCCACCGGGGCCACGCCGCTCTCCTCGCCGTCCGCAGTGCCGGGGTCTTACTACTCGGCGGCGGCGGCGGACTACCACAATGCGGCGGCGGCGGCAGCAGCTGCTGCGGCAGCCGCCGCCGCCGCCGGCTCCGGCTACAGCGGCCGGCCGGTGTACGCTTCGGCGGCCGGCTACCCGGCGGCCGGGGCTTCGACCGCCCCGGGCGGCACGTCGGGCTACCTCCATCCAGGGGCCGGTGCTTCCGGGGGCGCTGCTCCGCCTGGTGCCCCTCCCCCGGGGGCCGGGTACATGTATGGCCCGGGAGCCTCGTCGGGGGCCGGGGCCGGGGCTGCCGCGGGCGGCTCCTATGCCGGGGCAGCCGGCGCCGGGGGTACTCACCAGCCCATGATGCAGGCTGCCTCCATGTATGGGTACTCGTCGCAGGCGGCGGCAGCTGCAGCCGCGGCGGCCGCGGCGGCCGCCGCCGCGGCCGCAGCCTCCGGTCGCCCGACTCACCCATCTCTGACGGGGTCGGTGCATGACGCCTATGGCGCCGCCGGGCGCGGTTACGCTGGCCCGGGGTCGGCAGCCGCGGCAGCCGCGGCCGCGGCCGCCGCCGCACACCACTCCCAGCACCACCCGCACTCGATGCATGCCCCAGGCGGGGGTGGTCCCGCTGCCACGGGCCCCGGCGGCTCGGTCCCTCCCGGGCACGGGCATCTTCACCATGCGGGACACCATGTGCCCGGTGCTGCGGGTGCCCCGCCGACACATCACCACCCCCACCACCCCCACCACCACCCTTCATCGGCATCGGCCGGTCCTCAGCAACCCCCGCCCTAAGTGCGAAGGTGCCCAGACGCATCTGCCCTGTTGCTCTGCCACTTCCCATGGCCGGGGGAAGAAAATACACCCCCTCTCCCCCCCTCCTTGCCTTTGCATCTCTGCCTCTGCCTCTCTCTGTCTCTCCTTCGCAACTGTGCGTGTGTGCGCGTGCGCGCGCGCGCGCGCGCGCGGGCCAAGGGCGTGGCTTTTTTTTTTGGATGTCTCGCGGGCTCTGTGCGATTATGTGGGTGTATTTGCATGCACGCCCCCTGCGCCCCCTCCCCCCGGTGGCGCCCTCCGTCAATTTCTCCCCACATGCTGGAGGGGGACGGGAGGGGAGGGGGACCGAGGAGGAGAAAAAGCCAACAGCAACAGCAGCAACGCCCGGCCCCCGTGCTGGCAGTGCCCACCACTGCGGCAGGGGATATGTACGGGGGAGCGCAGCCTCGTCGGGCGGAAGGAAGGGGGGAGAGGGCGCATGCAGGACACAGACGCGCTCACATGCGCACTTACGCATGCCAAATGTGCAGGCGACCGGACTTCGAACCGGCGATGATCTGGCTGCCGAGGGGGCTCCAGCCGTTCGAGAAAAGCGGATCGCTGCTGTTTGACCATCGCCAAGCGGTGTAGATGCGGGTTTTTTTTTTTTTCGGAACCGCGTGCACGGGCATATCCGCGCACACACACATCCCGGACCCAGATGCGAAACCAGGGGGAAGGTGAGCGTCCAAAGGACAAGGTGTTAGAGTGCAGGAACAGCCATAGGCAGCCCCCC